TAGTTGCAAACCTAAAACTCTGAAAAATTCGTTTGTTCGCCTCAAATTCGGCGGATTCGAATGACCGACATATGTTACCTCACCAAGACAAAGGGCACTACTCGAAAGATGACTATTATCATAGTAGTGCTTTGAATTTGATCAAGCATTCTGAGCATCCAGAAGGTCTGCGGGGCCCCCGACGAAAATCCCTGCCTCGAGAACCCTGCTCCTGATTCAACTTCCGGAGTGGCAATAAATAATAGCATGAATAATAATGTTTTACGCTTGAAACATTGCAGTAATAATTATGTCAGTAACAAGGCTAATAAAATTGAGATCAAAAAAGCGATATGCATTCCATATGAACATTGCCGGGGCGAAAGATTTTCTGTTCCGATCAGCTCTTATTCAGAATCTCATGTTACATTTTATTTCGATCCATTTGTCTTCGTATCCGATATCTTAGCCTCCGTATTGTTTTTATTTATTTTTTATTTTTTCACTGTCTGCTAAGTCTATATTGTCCACACACAGTACACTTCATTCGTCGAAATGTTTTGGAACACTTTTATGGGAATGTATACATTTTATGAATCATTACTGTGAATTCCCTCTTGCCAGTCACTAGTCGTGACATTTGTTTTAGTCTGCTTGAACTTTTTTCGTTAACTCAATATCATTGAAAAACAAACAAACCATCGCAAACTTCTATTTTCATTTATTCAGGCGACGAAGNAAAAAGAAAAATCAAGTGATATAAATAATATAAAAGCGAGCGAGTTAAAAGATTTGGAGGTTAGTCACATTCATTTCTAATATATGTGGTTGTCGATCATGCATGGATGTTGGAAATTCTTTGTTGCCTTGTTAGACAACTCTGTGGCTGTATAAAGGCGACACTTGCTTGGTAGAAGGAGATTTTAACAAAATACCCGCCGAAGTATGACGGAATGACCGAAATGGCAATGGATAACAACATGAAAACTAATCCTAAGCCATTCTTTCAATGGAGGCATCATGTCACTTGAGTCGTTTCTCTTTTTTTACAGTTGTTATATCGAAATCTTTAAGGCGCTCATTGCTCGATGAATTATCATCCGAAGTGCATAGTGCTTTCGACCACTTCTGCAGTACATTCCAAGAGCAAAAACGATTTCGCATTGCTTTTTATAATCTCATATATAGATAAGTCATGCCTACTGCTGATTTTAGGAGCTGATGTCTGTCCTAAATGATCTTCACAAACGACTTGACGAACGACAACCGACAAAGGAAATTGAAGACTGCATTCACAAATGTAAAGCAAAAATCAAGTACGAAACCGACATAACGCTGAAGAAGGAACTCAATTCATTCATGGAACAGGTCCAGGAGCAATGTGGCGGAATGGAAGAAGTGAACGTTGACAAGAGAGACGGTTTGAAGAAGAAGTAGGTGATCAGATGTGTTCAGAAAATGTGAACATCAGAATTTTATAGTTGCTCTCCTCGAGTTAAAAAAAAAGAGATCCACTCGTAAGATTTGGCGAGATCTGGATGCATTATCTGCAGAAAGAGAAACGATTCAAGCGATTTACTTCATGCGCTGAAATGATACGTGTATGAAGAGGAGAAGGTTATTCTGTCTGAAGTGTTCACTTCGAGAGGATCAGTCGTGGTGATCGNGTTTGGAGAGAATCGACCATGGCAATGTGAAACGTATGAAATGCTTTGTATCACAAAATCGCTTTGAAATAGAGATTTTGATACTTTCTCTTCAGCACCTACAGCATGAGACAACAAACGAAACTGGTCTAAGACTTTGACTAGGGTTAAAAAACGATGCATTTTAAAATGATAGCGGTTTAAAATTTACGCGTTTTGCATCGTTAGACATCCGCATTCAGGTTGAGCGACATTTTGGATGAACTGGAGTCGAGGAAGAAAACTCTGCAAAGGCAAAAAGCTGCAGGTAGTGATGCTGTTGTATATAGTGTTATACTTTCCGAAGACAGCACGTATTCGAAGATGGTCGCATTGCGTTTGGAGAAAGTAAGTTGTTGGCCATAAATTCAAAACGGTCGTTCACTGAATTCAGCGTAACTTTGGATTTCATGAACCATCCAGTTCATCGGCTCTTCTCATTTTTCTTCCTCTTAGTTTCGTTTGTTAATTCATCCATTTCTGGTACAGCTATGCGGAGTGTTGTTAGCAGAGCATGAGACNATTCTCCTCATTTTCTCTCTATTTTTTTAAACATTCACTCTGAATACAGTTTTCAGTAAACTTTCGTCTTAATAATCATTGAGTCTTTATATGAACCGCTTTAACTTCTCTTGAGTGTAAGTCGTTCTGGGACTAATGAGTTGATTATTGGAGTTCTTTGCTTCATAACGAGTCGACCGCTTTTCAAAATGGTAACAAAATTAACGGTAACGTCATTCCGTCGATCTATCGATTCCACTGAATGTTTTGGGAACGGCTGCAGGCCGTCGCGTCGAGCACTGCATCAGCAACGACCGTCATGCTCGAATGCAGACGAGCAACGAACCATTCATCAGTTTTAATATTCAAAAACAACTTTCTTGGGCGTCATAACTTATGGAACTGCTGAGTATGCCATCTGCAACATTCTACGTTTGCATGTGTCACACATTGTGTGGTCATTCAACTAATCAACACACCCAAAATTGGTCAAATATTCACTCAGAAGTAGGTTCGATGTGATGTGCGACGTTCAACCCTAGAGAAAAAGAAATAAATTTTAACATCACACGTTTGTCCTATTAGGATCGCTCGTCCAGTCAGTCATCTCAACTAGCGTAATACCAGACTAAATCGCCCACTTACAGCTAAGGTTTGCAAAATCCCGACGATTTTTCAACTCCAGGATCGGGATTTGATCCCGGGATCGATTTTTGATCTCGGGATCGAACAAATGTTGTACTATTGATGCGAGACATGTTTAAACACATTTGGTTTGATGCACGGAAAAACCACTGTTCTTGCGTGCGAGTGTGGTG